AACTAGGGGATAAATCCGGTTTCTCGCACTTTCCGTTAACCGATTTCAATAAAACTTAGCAAATAGATGTAATTCCACAAACTTTTGAGAGTCGTTTTTTTTTCATAAAAAAGTTATGATTATTCCTCAAATGCTCAATCAGGCAACAGTAACTTGGTTTATAATGTCAAGAAATAATTCAAGAACACGCTGTTTTTCAGATCTCCCGTGCCACCAAGACCGACGCTTCGTAATCTCAAACTCAATTTTCTACTCCTCCACGCGATCAAGTCCGGAGCAGGTCTCCATTCGTCTAACAGACTCCCCAACCTACCAACGTGATCTGACACATCCTACGAAGCAGCCATATCGACCGAACCCGATTAACTCAGATCTCAGCCAGTCGGGTATTCAGACATGTACGTCTGACCACCTGACATGTCCGCCTGACCACCTGACGTGTCAGATGGACCAACCATCAGATGGAGAAGAGGCGGTGTCATATGACAGTTATAATTTCGATGATTATGAGATTATTGAGTCAAATGATGAAAGCTTCTGTGTTAGCGAGAGCTTCAGTAGAGCGAGGGTGAGTTTTCTTGGTCTTTTAAACTAAAACTAATTTTAAAACTGTCGCATTTTATACAAGGTGTTAAAAAAATCACTGTCCATTTGTTCGATTCGTGAAGGGACGAACAAGTCGTGGACTTGGTGGTAAGCGACACGCCTCTCCATATCAGTTGCAGTGGCACTCAGAGCATTACGAAGATCTAAGGGGCACTGCCACTGCGCCCGTTACCTTGAGATATAAGTTGACAATTCCCATGTGTCTGTAATTTTACTTTGGTAAATAAAATAAATCCATTTTTTTTTACTGTTAATATTTCTCAATATACCTTTCGCATGGTATTCCAAAGTAGTAAATAAAAATCATTTTCTCAACCCACTGGGTATCACTATCGCTATGGTCGCAGTTACAACCTAACTTAGGCGAAGTGTCGGTTCTATAAGTTTTTTGTTTACGTGTTTTCAAAACCTAAATCCCAGTGGATTATTATAATACATAATACTCAGTGAATGTTATATCTGAAGTGTTTATATAAAATGAACATTATGCCATCGGTATATGAGATTGAGTGTTATATCATGCAAGAATATGTCAAATATCTGTATGTCAAGTATATGTATACGTTAATTATATTTGTTGAGCGTTATACCCTGTATCTATATCCCTGCTCAACATCCGTGCCCCTACCATAAATGCGGTGTAGTGGAATTGTTGCCCCGTGCGTGCTCGCAGTCCAAAGCAGGCGTCGGCGCCATCCGCGTGGAGAACGAGTCGGAGCTGTTCTCGCTGTCGCGCAGCGCCTGGGCCGGGGGCGTCGGGGCCAGCGCGGCCAGCAGCGCCACCACCTGCACCAACGCCGCCGGCATCTCCGTCAAGCAGGCTTCCCTGGATGTGCAGAGGACCGGTCAGTCTGCTCAAGCTTTAGCGGTCTAAGATCGATGGATTAGTTGAGGTTACGAGATCTGAGCGTGGTGAGACTAGGTGGTATCGTTAAAAACATAAATATCAAACTTTAATCAATGATGTACCGGCCATGTTGATCTACAATCTTCTGCCATGTTCGGGTACTTTAGGAATTCTTTCACAAAAATTCTTATCTTTAATTATTAATACAAAGATCGAACACTAAGAGAAATCCTTCGATTGGACTGGATTCGTACCAATGTCTTCCAGCAAACCGTGCCAGACGCTATGCCAACTAAGCCACGGAACGACCTACCGGACCTTACAAATTATTCTACGTGCTTGTTGCAAATCTTTGTTTTTTTTAATGACTTTTTTGCCGTAGTGTCATCTGTGAGAAATCTATTTCTTCACTCTGGCTGAGTACCCTTACAGCTACCAGCAGCTGACTAAAGATGTCGCTTTAATAATTGTAATTTTCACGTTTATTATAACAAACTAATGACGCACTTTCTTTCACAAAAATAATTGAATATCATTGTCAAACACCGTGACATTCCATAAACTTAAAAATTGCTATCTTTACCTGTAACGTATTATACTAAGTATTGTTTGGTGGTCTCTTCGTTGGAAAAGCTGTGTCCATTCAAAGAATTTCAAACAAGTGAAATAAACAAGGCTAATACTGCCATATACTATAAATTGGCCTGCAAATCAAAAGAAAGTTTCAAAATTATTCCAAGCTTTTAAGAGTTACGATGCCACACACAAACAGACATAGGCTTCAAACTTATAACGCCCCGTTTTTCCGTCGGGAGCTAAAAAATAAAATTAAAAAAAAGTAATTTTATTTTCAGTTCTCTCGAAGCTGAGCCGCAAAATAAGTCTGAAACTAGTCAAATTCGTAGACTGCCTCAAAGACACGTACTTTGGAACTCTGCAAAGGTAAGACGTATTTTCTCTAGCTATAAAATACTTTGATGAAAGATCACGTGGTATAGGCATATGAGGCAAAACATTGCCGGCTTTTCGTACGGATTCTTTGGTGTGACTGTCTCGATAAGTACATACATATATATAATCACGCGTATCTCGCACCGGGGTAGGCAGAGACCGTGGTCCACCACATGCTACGCTCTCGACAAACCTTCCTGTCCTGAAAAAGGCCGGGTTAATTGTACCAAGATCAATGTCCTTTTTTTTTAAGAAACGAATGATTTTTGGTGTTGTAGTGATTTCGTATACTTCTTTATGGTCAAAAGTTGTGAAAAACCGGTTTACAGACTTTTAAAGCGGCAGTAAAGACTTTTTCGGTCAAAATAGTGCCGAACCGCCGCTGACTCGGCACCGTTCTACAGGTTAACACGGTAAACGTTCATATAACTGTGACATATACAAATAAAATGTGTAATTCTCCAGGTGTTTAGAATCTCTGGAATCATCATGTAGACAAGAGCTGGGTGGTCGCCCTGCCAGTGAGGCGATGAGACAGCTGCTGTCCGTCGCGAGGCAAGTAGACCTGCAGCCTTGCGCCTCCTTCTCGCTGCTTAGGTCGCTGGTGGAGTCTTTGAAAAGGCTGTTTCATAAGTAAGTTTTATGCAGACCTTATTTACTTGCTGCACTTATTCAACCTTTAGGTAGCTTATTTTAAATAGGCTACTCCATAAACGAGTGCTGTACTGTTTTTATACTCCTCTAACGCAACTCAAAAGAAAGGCGCTACATGACAAAGGCTTGATGGTGCTTATTGCGAATGTGATAATCTGCCAACTAATGACACGAATTACCCGGTTCCAAGCTAAGGTATCTTCTGCACTTTAAGTAGGACGTGTTATCACTTTAAACATGAACCAATACTCATAACCAGGGATCGGACTAGGTAGTTTTTTTACTAAACTTCGAGGACCATAAACAGAAAATGGAGACTGCCTAACGACTATATTTTTTCGGTCAATCAAGAGATCCTATTGTTATAATTAAATATTGTCATGTCACATTTTACCGTAAATGTAATAGTTTAGTAGGAAAAAAATTAGATGTGTATTTTTTGTACCTTACATACCATTAGTGCCCCATTGTTACAAAGTCTTAGTCGATCCTGTCTTGGAATCACTACAGACTTATTATTAGACCTATCTTCTAAAGATTTGCATACTACATGCGCACCCAAACCTACCTATTCACTACTTATACGTGTCAGAAAATGTGCAAAAATTGCTCATAAATACGAATATTTCAATTTTTAATGTACTTAAGTGATTTCCCGAACAGGTCCAGGACCTAAAAAGTATTGTCGTAAGGCAGCCTCCAGTTTATGTCTATGTTCCTCGAAATTTAGGTAAAAAAACTACCTATTCCGATCCCTGCTCATAACCCAACTGCTAACCTTCATACTACAGATCGTAGCTCTAATAATCTCAGTACAGAGTACTAAAGAAACCGACCTCAAAAGTACGTGGAATTACGTCTATTTGCTAAGTTTCATTGAAATATCCCCTAGTTCGCCACTATACAGGACTTGATACTGGAGATAATAAAAATAGGTTCTCACTACGACACTGCTCAAAGTATTTCGAGGGAAAAACGCCTGGAATTGATGAAATAGCAAAATCAACTAAATAATTGCTAAAAGTAATTGCTCCTAAATTAAAGTTAGGCGCTATTTATAAAAATGAATCTTCATGCGTGAACAGCCACCCTTTGAGGTGGATGATTTCCTTCAAAATGAAATGGGACCACTATGGAAGTACCCCCTTTCCAACAAAAAAAGAATCATGAAAATCGGTCCACAAATACCGGAGTTATCGCGTAACATACATACAAAAAAAGAAAAAAAAAGAACATACAGTCGAATTGAGAACCTCCTCCTATTTTGAAGTCGGTTAAAAAAAGGTCAAAATTTCGTCTTATATCTAGATTTCGCTGATCAATAGCCTGCAAGTACTTTATATTATATTCTGTGTATAAACAATTACACTTACAACAAAACATATTAACAATTTTCTTCTAATTTATCTAACGTTAATTTAACAGCGGGTGGTTTTAATTTTTGCTTTTATTATTCTTTATCTTCTAATTGTTTAATTACACGTATCCTTTTGTCTTCGGTATATCTATCTTTCTTACGCACGTTTAGAGGTGAAAGGGTACTACTAGAAGCCCGGTACTCTATAACACAGGTTAATCCTAGTATGGACAACAGACTTTACAAATGAAACTATATTCAATAATATGTGAGGATCATAGGTATAAAAGTATAAGTTTATTTTGTGAAAGATAATAAAAATATTTTCACTTTTGTGTTTGCATGTTATTAAAGTTCAATACCATCAACGTCTATTGTAAGTTACGACGTTTTGATTTTATATTGAAATTACAATCAATGTGCTGCTATCTAGCGGTTAACAGCTGAACGACGACGAATTCGAGACGTTTATTTAGTTCACGAAAAAAGAAGCGACCATATTGCAAAGGTATAATGGTATTTTTGTTTCTTGTAATAAAAAGTATGGTAAACAGCACCACTGATAATATTACAAGTGATTATAATTTTCGCAGAGCAAAGAAGCGCAACAAGGTATTTTTCTACGATTTTCTAGGTTTTGAGCTTGATAACTGACACGACCGTAACGCACAAAGCGAAAATGGCGTACTAAGCTCAAGTTTGCGGAACTCCGCGACCTGTTGGCGCACGTGCCGCGCAAACTAAGCACTTGCATTGAATTTATTGTTCTGCTACGAGCGCGTGTCTCTCCGCAGACTGCGCATCGTGTCCGGCGAGGCGGAGGACGCGTGCTGCGTGCTGAGCCCCGCGTGGCGGCGCCGCGCGGCCGCGCACACCGCGCACTCGCTCAGCGCGCCGCGACTCGCCAAGGTCATCTCCTCGCAGGTCGGTGGCTGCCAGACTCGACACTACCTCGGCTCGATTGCAAAATTCTCCCCTACCGAGTCGGTCCTACTGCAGGGACGCCGTCTTTATTTCGGAACTTATTTTTTACAAACGAAATTAAAATATATGTCGTATACTATACGTGTTATATTTAGTTCAGTTGACATTAAAAAAAACATTAGTATATGTAAAGAACCTATTGACTACAGCGGTTTTCTTGTACAATTTCGAGGTTTGTATGTTTCTTCTATCGTGACTATTTTAAGGAATCTTGTTTTCACACCGTATACTAATCGGTGCATATTCTCAATTTTTACTAATAGAGCTACTAATATAGGTCAATGATTTTAATATATATTTTTTCCAAAATGATTTCATTCAATATTTTCACTATTATGCAGAATCAGAAGTGTCAGACCCGCTTTGACGTTTTGTGGGGTGATAACTCCGCCCCGATTACAATCAGAACCTCTGTCGCCAAAACTCACACAATCGTAATATTAAACACTATGAAATCTTGACAATGATTAATCATAGTTTAATAATAATAATAATAACGCACACACTCAACATAGTGGAATATCATTGAAAGCTCAAATACTTCTTATTGCAAGTTACATTGTTTTGATTTTATATTACACTTTCAAACAATGTGCTGCCATCTTGCGGTCAACAACGGAACGATAACGAATTCGAGTTGCTTCTATGTACAGATGTAGTGAATAATCCTTTCCTATCGGCATAACTCGGAACAACGATAACACCCGAATGGTGCCGATGTGTCTATGAATTACTGTATTATTAAATTACGTGTAGGTATCAAATAAATCGCATACTTTATTTATCAATGTCAAATGTCAAACTGCCCGTTTGACGTATATTACACTGAGATGTTAAAACCACCACGATTCTATCATATAAAGAATTCGTTAGGTAAACAAAAATATAACTAGTTACCGAGGACGTTTTATTTCAATCAAACGCACTGATAAAAACCAAAGTCCGGTTGGGATGATCTAATGATTCTCTAAGGATTGGAACCCCAAAAGTCTAACTATAAGTCAAAACTACAGTTGGATTTTGCAGACCTTTTTTATAACAATTAATTATTTTAATTAATTAAAAATACTATGACATAACAAAAAAGACACCTCAACATAAAACAAAACAAACCAGCAGAGAAATTAATATAAATAAATATGATTTTCTGATTGGATGAACGACTTCGATTATGACAGCGGGATAAGAGGAGGAGGAGCGGGGTGGACAGTGTGATGCGAAACAATACTTCCAACTTCCATATCACAGTCAGATTCAGAACTATTTTCTGGTGTATCATCGTCAGAGTTTTCATGAACGTTGATTACAAAACTAGCCATATAATTTTCCAACTCAGGTTCGTGTTTTCGGTACTCGTTTTCGCATTTGATGGCGTGGTCACATACTTTGGCCCAAACATCGGAACCAATTATATTAACCTTTTCCTGTACCAATTGTTTCACAGTAGTCATATTCATACTGATGTTTCTTTTGGATACGTATCCCTTTATTTGAGACCATATGTTTTCAATCGGATTGAAATCAGGATGATATGGTGGCAATCTTAGTACGCTGTGTCCATATTCGTTCATAAGTTTATCTATAGAGTATTCTACAAAGTCTTGTTTGTACTTGCAAATAATTTCATATATTTCAATTTTTGTTAATGACGGATCAATCGGAACGTTAAGTTTGGATAGCCAATCAATCATGTCTTGCTTACGGGTATTTGAATTAGGAGGTTTTTCTACGTACTTATTATGATATGCAGCATTATCTACTACTAGTACCGAATGTGGAGCTAAGTTTGGAATGAGTTGATTACGAAGCCATTTTTCATAGTTTTCATTGTTCATCGCGTTGTGATAGTCACCTGTTTTATCAGTAGACTGATACATTAACAATGCCATAGGTATAAACCCCTTTCTACTACCAGCGTGCACTATTATAAGACGTTGTCCTTTAGAAATTAACTGTTTCACTCCGTTTTCTGACGAGTCAGCCCAGCTTTTACCTGCCAAATGTGAGGTATGGATGTATGTTTCATCCATATAAACAATCTCTCTCCCTTGCAATCTGTACTTTTTTATCGCGGCTAAAAACTTTACTCTTTTTAAACGAACATCATCTTTCTCGATAAGTAATTTTCTGTTGTTTTCAACTTTTTTGTACCGAAATCCCATTTTTCTAAGAATTTTTCTTAGCGTCAAGTCACATCCCTTAAAATTTATGGCTTCGGATAACTTGGACTTCAGGGCTTTAATTGTAGGTACTTGTTTGTATATCAAATGGAAATTATACACTAATCGGCGTATAACGTTGTAGTCAAAATCGTCAAGACCTAGACAAAATAATTTATTTGGTCTACCCAACTTTGCCGACTTCGGACTATTGGAGGTAGATTGATTTATGTATTCTTTTTGCAATATTTTATTTACTGTTCGTTGAGAAATTCCACTGGCCTCCGAAACTCGTTTTTGGACTTTACAAAAGTAAGCAGTATAGTTGGTATGTTTGAATTTATCATTTTCAGTTAAGAAATATAAATAAATATTGAAAATAACTTCGCAGGCTTGCCGATCTAAACGTTTCCCTTTTCTTAGTGCTTTCGGCATGTCTGTTATAAATTGTTAATGTGGATCGAATAAAATCAATGTTTATTATTTACAAAAATGACAGACAAGAGTGACATGTAAAAGGTCTATCAAAATATAGGTGGCCTGCATTAATACACGAGTCCATGAAGTTTATCACAAAATCTAACATAAATATATTTCTGTGGTATTAACTACTCTATATAGATACTTCCTCTTGCAATGCGACCTTTCCCTACGTTGTCTCGAGGGGTACTGAGTGCGAGTGAAGTAGTAAGACAAAAACGAACATTTCCGAGAAAATACGAAAGGAAAGGATTATTCACTATCTGTATTTCATTACTAATATAAATTGTTGATGTGTGCTAAGTGAAATATCACCATGGATAAATCATATTACAAATGCGACTATTATTTTTGCATTCCAAAGTAGCATTTTTCTACGATTGTCGAGGTTTTTTCGCGACATAATTGACACGACCATATCGTACAAAGCGAAAATATCAAATTGAGCTCAAGTATGTGGAACTCTGTAGTTTATTGTTCTGTGTGACGAACGTAGGCGATAGAGTGAAATACGTTGGTTTATAGAGACATATTTAATTGTTCAGTCTCCAGAATGTAAGTGACGATATTAATTCAATTAAAAGAAAATGTGAAGTTAATTGCTAAACAAGCAATACGCATCACGTCTTGCAATTATAAATATAGTCTACCTGTATTAATTTCGTCTTAAAGCAGCTGATTTCTAAAGGCTGTTCGCGTGCCACATAAACTAACACGTATTTAACTGCACGCATTCAGCACGTTCGCGGCGCATGCGCCAGATACGTACACACCCTTCCTACTTCTATCTGCGTTAACGGTAAAGGAGAACATCGAGTTGAGACCTGCGCACCCTTGACGTGTGCAAGGGCCAACCGCCCTCGGCCCCAACACCTTGTTTCGTCGCAGATTCTGGAGCGCCTGGGCGTGGCGCACGAGCGGTACCAGTCGGCGCTGATGTCGCTGGAGTCCGCGCTGTCCAGTCGGCTGCACAACACGGAGGACGTCAAACTGGCCATTAGGAAGAAGTAACTTTATTTATTGTATAATTAAGTTTATCGAATGTCAGGATGTTGCACCACCATTGTATTCAATTATTTTTGTGAAATTACCCAACTAGTTTGTTATAATTATTAATATAAATATCGAACACCCCTCACGAACAATTCCTTCGATCCGTCTGGATTCGAACCAACGTCTTCTAGCAAGTGCCAGACGACGTGGCATAGCGTCTAACGAACCAACGTACTTTACGAATTTTTGTACGTGCTTGTTGCAGATCTTTGTTTTTTGGTTTTTTAACGACTTTTTAGCCGTAGCGCCATCTGTGAGAAATCTATTTCTTCACTTACTTATTTATTGTATATTCAACATCGCAGGATACCATTTAGAAGGTTTATAAGGTTTTGGCAGTCAGATTCATAATCAAGAAGCTTTTGTATATTTCAGACACTTTAGTAAGTATTTATTACACAGGACGCATTTTTTGAAAATAAAATTTAGTGCTCATTTGACCTCCATCTGACCTGGTGGAAAGCGACAATAAGGTCGACGATGAAGCATGCATATCTAAATACTACCTATTCACTCTCGCCTTGAAAAGGCCCAAGATATGGTGTTCATGTTTTTAGTCAGCAGGCAGGGAGTTCCACTCTATAGCCTGGCCGTTTGCCATGTAAATCTTCTTATAAATATTTATTTTTTACTTACTACATTTCTATGAATAGGGAATTGTATGTTTATTTTCAAGCCCTAACGCAAAAAAAAGGGAAGTTCTAAGGTTGAAGCCTTTGTCTGTGTATTTATTTTTTGTAGCCTCCAAAGACGTAACCGACTGTGAACTGACAACCGGTACTTTCTCAATTTTGACAACTTTACATTGACTTCACAGGTGAAGAAAAAAAAAATTGTTTGCGTCATTTATATAGCATCTGATTTATTAAATAAAAATACTTAGTTTTTAAATATTTTTATTACACATACACTACGTATTTTTATTTAATAAACCAGATGGTACATAAATGACGCAAACAATTTTTTTCTTCACCTGTAAAGTCAATGTAACGTTGTCCAAATTGAGACAGTACCGGTTGCCAGTTCACAGTCGTAATGCCACCTTATTTCTGCCGCCAAGTGGTAATGTGAGAATACTGCGTTCCAGTTTTGAAATTTGTCTTTGGGTGACAGGAGCAGTGAGATCCCCCCCAGATCTTCGCAATTTAAAGCTCTGAGTGGTACTGCAACTGCTATGAACAGACGTGTCGTTTACCACCAGGCGCACTACTTGTTCATCCCGTCACTGGGTATCATAAAAAAAAGTTAAACCAATGTTTCATCCTTGCAGGTACGCGCCTGCATTCGCTCGACTTTGTCTCGAAAGCACGTCGATGTGCGATCTTCTCATGTACGGGACACCAGAACTAGGACGGGAGATAGGTAATTTTAGAAATTGAATTTCTATCTACATAATACGTTGTATCTACATAATGTTTTAATTTGCAGAATAGCTTTGGTTATATTAATAATTAATCTAAACTTAAATAAAGTAATACACATAGAGTATATAATTACGTTTCTCCGAAATATCGGAATTTTACTGTTACATACTTACCGGCGTAACTTTTAGCGGAACAAAAACAAAGTGTGATTAAATGTATAATAGTAACGTTTATATTTAAATAAATAAGAATGAAATATTAATTCGACGTAATTAAAAATTAATATATTTTAACATCGACTTAGTACAGTTTTACTCAACCTTAATTGAAAAAAAATCCAAATTAAACAAAATGCATTTTTTGCAGATTTTATCACAAAGCACAATCAAGTGAAAATTTTAAATTTGTGACAATTTAACATCGATTATATCAATTCAATTAATGCTTACGAAATTTACAAGAACGGTAAATCAACCTAGAACCAGTGGATAGACATGGATTAGTAGAAAATTTAAAAAAATATATAATAAAAAAATTACGGTCGAATATTTTTTTTTTTCAAATTAGACACAAAATGAAAAAGTTAACTAACCGATTGTACTTGAAAAAAAATTCACTATATTATTTTGGAAATTATATATATATATACTTTTCTTTAATTTCTTTTTGTGTTGGAAAGAAGGTACGTCAATATTATATATATATATATTGGTCCCATTTAAATTTGAAGAAAATATTGAAATGGTGGCAAACTATGAATCCGGTTTCGCGCATTTTACGGTAACCGATTTCAGTAGAACTCGACAAATATAAGTAATCCCGTGAACTTTTGAGGTCGACTTTTTTAATTCTCTATACTGAGATTATGCGCTTTATTTTTAATGTGTATAACTAGCAGTTGCTACGGTAATGTGAGCATTTACGTTCCGGTTCATATCTCGGCGACGGGCGCCGTGGCAGTGCCCCTCAGATCTTTGCGATTTAGAGCTCCGAGTGGCACTGCCAGCCGGCGCACGCCTCCTCCGTCCCGGTATGACACGAAATGGTGCGCAGGCCGCGGCCAGTACGGCGTGGTGTACGCCGTGCGCGGCGCGTGGGGCGGCCACAGCCCCGTGGCCGTCAAGTCCGTGCTGCCGGCCGACGAGCGCCACTACCACGAGCTCGCCATGGAGTTCTTCTACACCAGGTACCTCCCGCTTCTATTCGTATTGGTGTGCATAGGAAGAGCCTCCTTGCGGTGCACACCGGTAACTTCTAGGCACGGTAAGGCAGTGCTTAGACTGGCTAATCTTTCCAACGCGATGCTTCGACCGACTTACTTACATTTTGTTCAAGAAACAAACCGTCGGTATAAAACTATTGTTACATTAACGAAAATATTATACAGTGTACTGATTTTCATTCTCGCCATATTTACTGAGGTTATTCCGAAACCAAATCGCAAAAAGAAAATCGCAAAAAAATTTTCTAAACTCTTATTTTTTATAATTATTAACACAGAGATCGAACACTCAGAAAAAAATTCTACGATCCGGCCGGATTCGAACCGTCGTCTGCTACAATACCGTGCCAGACGCTTTACCAACTAAGCACAGAACAAAACAGCTGATATTTCGTCACCCATTTTATTTTTTATTTAGTTGCGGTAAACATATCGATTAGCAATCGCCTGATCCAAAGGTCATGGAACTTTTGCACGGCACGTATCACACATCGGACCGACTCTCTTATTCTCTTGTTATCTTTTTTTCAAACGCAAGCGGGCGCTCATCAGTCAGTGCGCGGTCAGTAGCGAGTGGTTAGAGAGATGTTTGGTGTTCACCAGAACTGTATTACCATCAAGATAGCGCTCCTTCTGATTACGGAGGGCAAGTGTGGGACTAATTAAGTGATGTGAATAGTTTAGTTTATACGTAGAAGATTATCGAGTGTCGAACAATTCCGCGCCAAAATCGTCGTCGCTTTGAAACTTGTGAAGTAAAATGTGCTAATTCAGAGAGCTGAAACGAAACTCTCGACAACGTGCTAATTTTTGCAAAGTCAGTCACAGTGGTGTTGGTGGGCACTTCCTTCGAGTAGGTACCTGACTTAAAATTGATAAGTACCAAATTTAAATTCCAAAAAAGACAAACATTTTCTCACTCAACTTCTCTAATTATTGTAAACAATTAATGAATTATAACAATACGTAATCAACGTATCTTTCGGTGAAAAGACGAGTGGCCTAGCGCTCCTCGGGCTTGCTCGGGCCCCACCGGGGTGTGGTGCATACGATTTAAAGACAATTTTGCAAAACTATACTAGATACAATTTATGTTGAATAGAATATTTTTAGATGATTTAGTATTATTTATATTAATTAAATTTTTATTGAATTGATATTCAATTATTTTTTGTGAAATTACTCTACTAGTTTGTTATAATTATTAATACAAAGATCGAACACTCAGAAAAAATTCCTTCGATCCGGTCGGATTCGAACCGACGTCTTCTTGCATAGCGTGGCAGACGCTATACCAACTAAGCCACGGAACGAACCAACGGACCTCACGAATTTCTCTATGTGCTTGCGTCGTGTCTTTGTACTTGGTCTTTCAACGACTTTTTAGTCGTAGCGCCATCTATGAGAAATCTATGACAGATTTATCACCCAGTTAGTACCTTTACAGCTACCAGTCCTGGCGAGAGATGTAGAATATTGTTAGGTGATTTAGTATTATTTATATTATTATTTTTTTAAGTATGGCGAGAATGCAAATCAACACACTGCATAAAGTAGATGTTTTCTTATTGTATAATACAGTTGAAATCTTAAACTCGTCGAAATTGCCTCAGCTCCAGACAATAGAGGCTGGTATAATCGAAACTGGGTATTACTAAAACGTTTATAGTAAGGCTTAAATTTTAGGATTAGTGTTATCCGTAGCCAAATATCGGGGAAATAATAATAAATTTATTTCCTTCACACACAATTTCAACCATAATTAAACATTCTTAAGTAATAAAACATTTGTTGTCTGTGAAGGCTGGAGCCTAAACTAGGATACCCTGTGCTATAGGTCTCCAGGCCTCCGCTTACGGATAAAGTATCAATAAAACATTGACAGCGTCACGAATGATTGCTATAAGAGAAACTTATATATTGAAACTGTGGTAACTGTGTAACAGTCTGAGATGACAAGTATAAAATCGTGTTTTAGTTTATTGATACTTATTTTGCCTGGAACGTGATTAGAGCGTAGTTTGCTATTATTAGCACAAAGGTGGAACACGCGCAATGTTTGAAAGCACGAAATAGTTGTACGATGTGTTCAAAAACGAAATGAAAGGAGCATCCCGGCGCACCCCCGCATCGTGCGGCTGCTGGGCTCCGTGGTGCAGCGCCACGGCGCGTCGGGGCCCAGCGTGCTGCTGGTCTCCGAGCGGAAGGCGCGCGACCTGCACGCCGCCGTGCGGAAGGGGCTGGCCTTCGCCGCGCGGATCCGGATCAGCCTGGACATCGTCGAGGGTGAGTCGCCTTCTCGAACTGGTGCTCGTGTCGTTCCTTCCGATAGCTTTTCATTTGCTAACATTGTTTATTGAAGTGAAGATACATCTGAACGCAACAGGAAACTGTTTACCTGTTCAGTTGGCGGTACCTTCTGGCTAATCTTGTAAAGTGCTGTTGTTCGAGCGTCAGTGTCGATAGGGCAAATTGGTAGCAAAAATGAACGTAGAGTTGGCGGCAAGGTGTTAGAAAGAAGAAAAACAAACAATGGAAGTGACTTAAGCCTCGATTACTACTAGAACTGCTGTCGCCAAAACTCGCACATTCTTATTTGAAACACTACAAAATCTTGATATTGATCGGTCGTAGTTTCAAATTTAAATATAAATAACAAATTCTAGATTGTTAATATAATTTAAACATCGCGTTGTTAGCGTATCGTATAAAGTTCTATACCATCAATAGTTATTATTGCAAGTTACATTTTGTTTTATATTGAAATTTCAATCGATGCGCTGTCATCTAGCGGTTAATAGACTAAACGACGACGAATTTGGGACGTTCATTAAGTTCTCCAAAAAACAAGTGATCATATTGCAGCGGTATAAGCTTCGGTTCCGTCTCTTCTAACATAAAAATGATCACGACAAATAGAAAATCGAAAATGTATCACAATAAACCGAAACGTAACGATGGTATGGTGATCCGGCAGGCATCCGCTACCTGCACTCGCTGGGGCTGGTGCACCGCGACATCAAGATGAAGAACGTGCTGCTGGACGGCTTCGGGCGCGCGGCGCTGTCGGACCTGGGCTTCTGCGCCGCCGAGGCGCTGATCTCGGGCTCGGTGGTGGGCACGCCCGTGCACATGGCGCCCGAGCTGCTGCAGGGCGACTACGACGCGGCCGTGGACGTCTACGCCTTCGGCGTGCTCTTCTGGTGGGCCCTCGCTGGCACGCGACACTGATGCTGCAAACAAATACTATTCGTGCACTTTTCGCGCAGGTACGTGTGCGCCGGCAACGTCAAGCTGCCCTCCGCCTTCGAGGTCTTCCAGAACAAGGAGCAGCTATGGAGCAAAGTCAAAAGAGGTGCCGTCTATCAATTATGATAATTATTAATACAAATCTGCAACGCTTAGAAAAAATGCCTTCGATCCGGCCGGACTCGAACCGACGCGACGTCTCCTAGCGAACCGTACCAGACGCTATGCCAACCAATCCACGGAACGAACCAGCCCCCACGAATTTTTCTAGGTGCTCGTCGGATCTTTATCTGCGAGAATTTTGTGAAATTTCTCAATTGTGTCTGTACTTAACTTCCCTGTTAAAGATCACATTAAGTTGAATGCATTGAACCGTCCTTATCGTTAGGTGCATAGAGTTAAGTCAAAATACTACCAGCAGAACTCTAGATAGCCGAAATTCTATTTCTGACGCCAAGCAGCAATACTATCATTGCTGCGTTCCGATTTTGAAGGGTAAGGGTGAAATTACAGGCACACGGGACTTATCAACTTATGTCTCAGGGTGACGGTTGAAGTGTCAGTGCCCCTCAAACCTTTGCAATTTAAAGCTCTGAGTTGGAAAACAACTGCTATGGAGAGGCGTGTCGTTTACCATCAGGCGCACGACTTGTTCGCCCGCGTCACTTGTTGTTTTAAAAAAGAAAACATATTGAAGCATTATTAAATAAATGCTATCCATTATTTCTCACCAGGTCTTCGGCCCGAGCGCTTGCCACATTTCACGGACGAGTGCTGGCAAATCATGGAATCCTGCTGGGCCTCGGAACCTTCGCAACGAGCATTACTCGGCGACATCCAGCCGTTGCTGGAACGTATCCTCGAAAATGCTAAAAATTACGACCCGGACAAAATTCAATCACCCGCAGAACAGAGCAGAGAAAAGTTTCTTCGAGAATATTCTGACGATGACAGTTTGTATATGACTGGCGTTCAAGTCAATGCGTTGTAACCGAATTTTGCACTTTATTACTTGCCTGTACGAGCATGAAATGCTAAAAGATTAATGCATTGAGGAATACACATTATATAATACTTGATTTTCCCAGTCGTAAATTGCGTAGTTTGTTAATAAACAAGATGGCGTAATGTTTGTTAACAAGATGGCGTAAAGTTTGTTAGCAAGATGGTGGTTAAAACTATTTATCTCGCCAGTCGGTGCCTTTATGCCTACTCGTTTAGTGGACAATCTGTCGATGTAGTTTTCTGTACTTTATACAGACTTTACCAGTTTTGCCAAGCAATCATCTTCTCGCGGCACAGATTTTTTACGATCCAAGGACTGATCGAAGACGGAGTCACGATTATGGTGCAAGGATCTGATTGAGATCCTCCTTTTACATTTATTTTAAAAAAATGGACCGTTAAAGAATTGTGTATTTTATTATTCTGTTAATTCTTACCTATTACGATAGTAATAAGGAGATGTATGCATTAAATGCGTTTTAATATTAACCCATTGAAATGACACTGGGTTAGTTTTAAATGTATAACCTATGATATTATACAGTTCTAAGTTATAAAACTTAGCTCGGCTCTCACCATACGTCTATGCTCTTAATAAGAAATAATACTGCTCAAAACCACCACTAGAGGCGCTGTCTAAAATTATGGATAGTATCACGTCTTTCAATGATAATTTCATTGCCTCCAATCATTGACTTACAAATAAATGGACGACGGGTCTAATACAAAAACCACGAAAAAAATGTCCCAAGTCAACCTATTTAAACGTAGTGACATGTAAAAGAATATGAAAATGCTAAAACGTTGAATTTAAATTGTAATGTCATCGCAGTACTGTCTAAGTTTGCTTGCTTCGCTGTCAGTCGAACAAACGAAGACTAAAGCGTGAATGACGCTCTGTATACGATTTTAACGCCCTATAAGTTCGGACACTTTTTAGCGCGGACCCGACGTCCATATAATTATAAGTCAATGGCCTCCAATGAATACTACGGCAACCAAGAAAAAACTAAGTTTTTTGACGTCTTCTATTTTTTGTTTCTTTGTTTTTTTCACAAAATTCGGGGTATTTTATTAATATTAGTAAATTAATGTGGTTGTTTACAAAAATAAAAGAAAATGACCAACAAATAAATTTGACATAGTGTTCATTGGCGGTATCGATTTGCCTTATCGTTGAAAGAAAATATAGTGGTGAATTTAATTTTAGTCAATTGCAATTCACTAAAGTCCTAAAGTGATGTCAGGTTTACATAATTCACCGAATCACATTGGGCTAGTCGTTGATGATGATAAATCAAATTCTCGTGGCATCTCATCATCAAATCATCATCACCCACAGCCCATTTGTCTCGTAGTTTGTGCCATCCACCTGCACTAGTTGCATCCATGTACGGCCTACAATTTTGACGACATTGTCTGCCAGCTCCACTTCCGCTCCGTTACTCGATCTCCTTTGTCTATCCTTGGTCTGTAGACCTTCGTTCGTCTTCGGATTTCGAAAATCCTTCATAATAACATTTAATTTCGAATATGTTTTCATTATTTAGGATACAATAATAACCTGTGTTATATTATTACACGTAAGTCAACTTATACATAAGTGTTGTAATCGATGATAGTGAATAACGTTGTCTGTGATTGTTTAAAAGATAAACAAATAAAATTCAAGTAAAAACGCTTTCGTGCCTCATACGCCGTGGAACCTCAAAAGAAAAACAATTAAAAAATATAAAAACAAAAATTCATAAAAATTGAAAAATAGGAAATCGGACAAATGTCTAGATAGTATTTAAAATTAACCATAATGGATATGCACAGCCCAGGAAAATATTCTCTTATTTATATAAAACATTTCAAGCCCTGCGACATATCTTTCTTTATTTTTATAAGATCTCATATGATGTGTTTTTTGTTTGCATTTCAAAAATAATTATATGTAATTGTTCAAAAATATTACATCTTCAGATTGTACTTATTGATTTAAAAATACAAAAATATTGATTTAATGATTGTTTTTTTACAAACGTTATTTCTTATTGTTTCTGATTTATTGTCCGGTTGCCTATTATAAGAACATATTTAATAATATACTGGGTGCCTTTACATGTAAAAAAGTATCGTACGTATGTTGTTTTCGGTACAAAAACCCTACGTTTTAAGGAACTCTATTGAGAAGGTTTTGAGAAGGGTCCATTTCCATTGGAATAAGTTTTAAAACGAACTTTTCTCAATAATATCGTTCTTTTCTTGACTGACTGTCGAATCAGTATTTCAAGACAACCTATTTTCAATTTAGCATCTCACAAATTGTATTATAAGTTATGTCAAAATCATCCTATTAAGAAGTTATTCTTCTAGGTATAAAAAAGTAAAAAAGTATGGCGATTAGTAGAAAACGTTGAAACGTTTATAGCGGAATAAAATCATACATCTTAAAGAGTTACTACCTCACTTCAAATTTTTCCCATACTAATACGGTTCATCGGTTTTGCATGGATCGTGCGTCAGGGACACTGGCTTTATTTCAGAATTTATTTTTTTTTACAAACCATATTAAAGCAATTTGAAAAAAAAACCTGTATCGTATAGTACCTATTGAAAAAAGGTTTTCTTGTAAAATTTCGAGGTAAGTTTGCGTTTTTTATCTATCATGAAAATTTTTAGGATTCGTGTTTTCAGACCGAATAGTAATCAGCGTATCCTCAATTTTACTATATACTTTTTCCAAAATGATTGGTTCAACACTTTCAATGTTATGTGTAATCAACCGTAGCCTTTTGAGGTAGTATATACTCTTAACTTAGGTACAACAATATCTGATTGCCGTATCTGACCAGACAAGACCAGAGTCTTTGTTCTCTAGATGTTATCCCCGAAGTGAACTTTTGGGTATAAATTGAAAATAAATGTAAAATTCCTAGTTTACAGTAAACTTTTGAGACATTTACATCTTTATTAAGGATCGACCGGTCGCGCATGATCCTTGAAATTGCTCCGATCTGGCGAAGAGTCTGATGGAGTAAAGGCGGGTTTGATAACAAGATTGTATTGAGAAAGTCCAGGCCCGCAAAGAGTCGTCTTGCAATTTATAATTGTAAAAAAAAATGCCCATATTTCCGAGTAACTGGGAAAGTAAAAACCAACCTTATTAATCTAATGTGGCTTGTGAGAAATTTTTATATTAAAAATGTTTATGAATAAATGTATATTGGTATTTAGCAATTGGTGCCTAAAGTGTTTAAAATAAGGAATGCAGTTTACTTGATTATTTTTATACACTGTGATACAAAATTGTTTCAATGTAAAAAACAATTTTTGATATTTTTTTTTAATAAATCACATTTGTCTGTTGTAAAGTAAGTATTAATTTTAGTTGAAGTATATGTTAAGTAACTTGTAAACTGAATAAAAAGCTTTTTTAAACAAATTTTGTTGTTTTAATTAACTTAAAAGTCTAAAGCCCTTTTTGAAATAGGTTGAAACACCAAGTTTTAAGAATAAAAACTCCAATGTAGCAATTTAAAATTATTTATTTGTTATCACTTCGTTGAAACGTCTACAATTCCAAATTTACAATTTCTGTTCACTAATTATTTTTCCTAATTACTTAATTTAATAATCTACTTTTATATTCGACTTCTTTCGGACGAGCAGCACACAAGATTTTTTCCTCCCTTCTACCCCTACTTCTTTTCCCTCCAATGGATACTCGCTTTTGATGGGTCATTATAACAACCAATCAAAATCGAGCATCAGTGGCGCCACAAGTACATAAAAATAACACTTATGGCGCCAAAAATAATATGCAACTAGAAAATATTCGATAAAATTAAGGGAATCATGGCATAAGGTTAAATGTTTTCTTGTTTAATGTTTATGTAACGTCTCAAGACTCTGCAAAATACAATAGGAAAACCGCTAAATGCCCATTGTAGTCAACTGCACATCAAACACTCCAGTCACAGATTACTTAATAGTTACTACGTAACAGATGCATCATTCTCATACAAAATAGAAAACACCTATGCCAGAATAGCCTACTAAATCTGACTAATGACACCAGGCGCTCACTACGAGGAAAAAGAAGCCTAAGCACGCGCTCAGAGAGGTGAAAACAACATTGCCCGCCGTGTGCAGTCGTGCGACACCGAATGGTCATAAATGAAAGACTTGTATGAGCGCTTGTGCCGACGTCGGTACACTCAGCGGTAGGCATTTATAGTGTAACCTTGAGTGACGGAGCCCTGCTCCAGTGCAACGTGATAAAACCCGCACGACGAAGAAAGTTCACAACCCTCTGAAAACGTGCAAAGTCCTTAACTCGCATTGGGTCAGCGTAGCGGACTGGTTAAACTCTCGCCTGAAAGGAAACCCGTGCCCAACAGTGTGACGTTTAAATGTGTTGATGAATATAATTACTTGTTTCAGCCCCAAGCAAGTATGAAAAACTAATTTTCCTAGATACTCTATGGTCATGTAGATTGTAGAATATATAGCGCTAAATTTTAATGCGACATTTTCATTAATATGTAGATTTTTCTTTTTATTATATCAAGTGACGGGACGAGCAATTCGTGTGACTGGTGGTAAGCTACATGCCTGTCCATAACAGTTGCAGTGCCACTCAGAGCTTCATGTCGCAAAGATCTCAGGAACACTGCCACTGCGCCTGTCACCCTGAGACATAATTTGAATCGTGGGTTTCGGTTAACCCTCATGAATAGACGACTGACTTTTATAGTACTTTTAATCGACAACTTAATTCTTAATTCACAAAAGTTTAAGTGGAGACCATGTCTGTCAAAAGTGAAGAGAGAAAACACAGATAAAAAAGGCGCGCAAACCGCGTTATTTTAACGGCTTCACCCGCCACAGACACGTCACTTGCGCCTGTCATTTCACCATTCGCCCATTCTTTATCTTTTATACAGAATAAATTTATCTTTATCTTTACTACTGCTTGATGGCATAAATAGGTAACGTGGCAGTACTTCCCTGGACGAATTTTTCCACAAGAAGCTCTGCTGCTCATAGGAAATGAAACTATTTTTCCGGATTTAAATCGCGTATATTTGTTTTTTCAAACAAACCGACGTTTCGGGCCCTTTACAGGTCCCATGGTCACGGTTGACTGAGGTGGTACAGTCTTCAACCAGTTATGTCTAATATTAATGCAAACCACCCTATTTTTTCACTATAGTTACAATAGTTATTAATTAAATACCTTATTTTTAATTTTACAAAGAAAACAATCCAATTTACGCTACATTAAGTTTTACAAATTATTTTATTGAATGAATTTTTATTAGGTTTAATTTATTATTAATTATTAATAGAAATTAGAATAAACTAAAACATATTAATTAGTACTGCAGTCTTATGTCTGTTTGGGATTTTTCATTAGAGGAAATACTGGATCCCAAACTGGTGGTACGGAGAAACCATCTTCCCTGTTGAAATTAGGATGTTTTTTAATTTTAATGGCCTCTCGCAGCATCCTGGGTAGATAACGGACTTCTTTTGCAAGGACCTGGGGCTTGTCAAACTTCATTGAATGCGTAGGTTTATCCATGACATGCTCGCAGACTGCAGACTTGTTTACGCGACGGTGTTTGACATCAGCTATATGTTCTTTGACGCGGGTACAAATACTTCGCTTTGTTTGTCCAATATAAGAGAGACCGCACTCACAGTCAAGCTTGTAAACTCCTGCATCCTGTAAGGGGATGTTACATTTCACGGGTCTCAGGAACTGAGAAATCTTCCTCAGGGG